AATTTTTAAAATCCTTCTAAAAAGCCAATTCTAAATCTCAATCTTTAATTGATAGGTGAATTGTATTTTCATCCTGGGACATACTATATCAGAATAATGATGAGATTGAAGTCAATATTTGATTGAATGAAGCATAATCATTTGAACAAGGTAAACAAGGTCCAGGTAAATATTTTAAAGTCTACTGAACAATTCAAGATGTGTGTGAATATTAAAGTTATAACAGTAGTACTCATATCTGTTTAAGGCCAACAATAACTTAGAGGTTATTGACTATATTTTATATAATTTAAAAAATAAAAAACTAAGTATTCTTTCTTCTCCAGTAAATTTCCCAAACATTTTGACTTCTATTTAATAAACAAAAGCTTTAAATTTGTTTAAAATGGTAACTGATGATTCATTTAAAACTTAAGAAGATACAGAAATAGCAACATAAGAAGAACCAGACTAATTGTGTATCTAATTTAGAATTTAAAAGAAAATTCAACCCTGATGAAGATTTATAAAACCATGTACCGCCATGGCATTTTTCACAGATGTAATTTTCTGTGTCAAAGTCTACTTTCAAAAACCTGTTATTTAAGATGACATAGCCTTCACTGCCATTCAGGAGTGTGGTAGTAAACAAATAGATTCTTGTTGTCCTTGTTTTTGCCAAACTGATAGTAGTCTTTTTTATGTCACTAACTAAGCAAACAAAAAAAGTAATTTAATGAGATTCCCAAAGCATGTCAATCCAGATTAACCCTCTGGCAGCTCTTCTTTATGGAACATTTAGCCTCTTGAGTAGTGAAATTCTGGCCAAGAAACTTACAAAATGATACCAATTGTAATATAAAAGTTCACTTTTATTTCAGCCAATGTTTGTTTATACATTGGAGGTAGTATGGGATAATAGCAATGGCCTTGCAGGGTGAGAGAACTACGAGAACTTGGGAATGCTAATTTGTCCAACGGTGCCTCAGAATCTCATCTATAGAGTGGGGTTTCATTAAATACTGATAGGATGGTTATAATATAAAATACGCAAAGTAGGCACCACAGCAAAATGGTTAAGAGCAAGGACCCTGGAGGCAGACTATGTCCCATGAAAGATACCAGTCTTGTCAGTTTTGTTGATCACTGTATTTCCTGGGTTTAAGATGGTTCCTAGCACATGGGATGTGCCCTATACATATATGTTCAATAAATGGAACCAAAGCATCCTAGCTTTGTCAATTCTTGGTTATATGACTAGGAACAAGCCACCCCTGTAAGCCTGTTTCTTAAAGTGAGAATTAAATGTGCACAATACAAATGCTCACTATATTATCTATTGTTGTTAAGGTAACCTGAACACAGTATGAAAAAAATAGGCACTCAATATGTGGTAACTATTATTACTAATTTAAATTTATAATTAATATATACTGTCTATTTTAGAAGATATTATTAATGATATGATGAGTTAACAAAACTACTGGTTTTAAATAATATTATGTACTTGAAAGTCTTTTGAAAATTGCTAAATATGAAATATTACAAATGCTTTAAAGCATGTTTGGAAGAGTGCATTCACTCACAAGTTAAAATTCTGTTATTTAAAAATACTTCCTGAGATAATCACTTTTTCCCATTAAATATCATTGTAAACGATGAAAGGAATCTCCTTTTATCATTCATCAAAGGAAGTGGTTCTTAAGAGTATGGGAAATGTTGGCCCATGTGTTCAGTATTAAGAATAACGAAGAAAATTCTCATTTTCTAAATGTATAACTCGTAAAGTACTCAGACATATAAACTATTTTGCAATACTGAGTCAATTATTAATTATTTTAAGACACCATATAGAAGACAAAATAATGAAATTACTTGTTACCTTAATTCAAAACTCAATATGTATTTTTGTTGTTAATCCTCACCTGAGGATATTTTTTCCATTGATTTTTAACTTTTTTATAGAGAGAGAGTGGAAGGGGGAGGAACAGAGAGAGAGGGAGAGAGAGAGTGAAACATAGATGTGAGAGACACATTGATCAGCTACCTCCTTCACGCCCCCTACTGGGGATTGAGCCCGCACAACTCCGGCATGTGCCCTGACGGGAAATCAAACTGTGACCTCCTGCTTCATAAGTTGATGCTCAACTAGTGAGCAGACTGGCTGGGTGTGAGCTGCAAACTTTTACATTACAAATAGTATTTGTTTAAAAGTTTCTAGGACATATCATGGCTTAGTCCCTCAGAAAGTCCTTATTGCCCTACCAAGCTCCCTGTCTTGCTCTACCACATAGTTCCAAGGAGCTATCATAGACTTTACTCACAGAAGAATTCATTGTGACATCAATAGCAAAGGTACTCACATCAACGATAGTGGGCTGAAATGCTGATTTTGTCAAATGTAGTTAGGAAGGGAAGGGGCATTCCAGAGCAAAGAGTGGAAGTGGTCAGGAGAAAATCAGAGACCCCTCAGGGAAAAGTAAAGCAGAATGAAATGTAGGCAGAGAGAAAGGAAGCTGCAGGGCAGGTTTTGATGGTGTAGAAATGAGGGACCAGATGAATGAGACACTGATCCCTCCCTGCTCTGTGGTACATGAGCTCATCACACTGATCCTTGAGATTCAATGAAAACTTTTTGAAGGAAGGAAAGATGAAGCTCAAACTGGTCCAGGATGAAGGGTGGGGTGGTGGATGCCTCCATTCTGTGTAATAACCTCATCAAGGTTGCCATTTGCTCCTGCCTCCTACATTGGTCACCTTCCCATCACATTCACTTCAGTCTACCCCAGGCTTCTGCATTCCCCCCCGCCCCCCCGCCCCTCCAAAAAAAAATTCTCACCACAGATCAAATTGTCTCTTTCTTTTGTCTTAATTTTGCAACTCAACCTATTTCTGCCCTAATACCCATTCACCCCTCCCAGCAGCAACACAAAGAAGATAAACAAACAAAATCCTCTGCATGTCTTTCAAAAACACCCTTGATCTAGCTAAATGAAAACTAAGCAATTGTTTCAAAGGATTCACCAACTAGCACCTACTTTCCTAGTAGGTTAGGGGACTTCTCATTATTTGTAATATATTCAGGGACGGGGTCTTTGTAATAACAGTTTTTATATGTGATATGCCCAAGTTTTCCAGGATATGTTATTGCACCTTATCTATGTATGATGCCTTCTTTTACAGCTTAAGTCTATGCTAAGCATATCCTTCTCTGAATAGCATTACACATTCAGAAATTATTTATTAATACTTTATAACCTTTCATCTTTCTACTCCAACTTGACAATAACTTTGAGAGCAAAACTAAATTTTTTGTCTTTGAATTCTGACACTAGATAACTGACTAGGATATTAACAGAATAATTTTGGTAGATTCTCCCAAGTCCTGACAAAGTCTCATCATTTACTATATACCATTAGCACAACGTCTGTCATCCAAAATCCCCTTCTCCACAATCTCCACACCTCATACTATTTAAAAAAAGTTTATTCATAACCCCCAAAAGGAAGGTGCTTATAACTGCTTTACTGGAAACATTTAAAGAAACTGTTCTTCAATCGACCAGCCATGTTGGTTTTCTTTTACAGAGCCTTACTCCCCCTGTATCCCATAATAAAAATGTATATAACATCAGTCTCCTTGTTCTGAACATAAATGTGTGACCTCACTTCCAGGGTTATATTTTGACTTCTGGTCTACAATGCCTCCATACTTACCAATAAAAATTTATGTTTTCAAATATAAATACTTTCGTACATTTAAAAAGTTCTATATGACTTTCTCTTTTCTAATTAATTGATAAAAGATATCTTTGGGTTATTGAAAATAGCCAAAAACTAATGTAAGGCATTCTTAATTTTGTAAAACTTATAAGATTTGTCAAAAGGTGAATGAGAGTAATTCATTTTCCCCAAAACACTGCATTTCTCATCCATATTGGAGTCAAGCAGAGCGCTAAGTAATTACCTGATTATGTATTCCCTTGGCTGCATGTATCAAAGTTTCCGCCTTCACGTGAGAATTAAATATTGGCATGTGGTAACATTTCAATTTCACAATTGAGTTCTGCCTATGGAGATCTAAGTCTCAAATCACTCCAGGTTGGGAAAAGGAATCCAATTTTAATATTTTTCTTGAATAATCAGCGTTTACATATTTTTATCCACTGTCAGCACTGAAAACTTCAATTTATATTATTTTTTTCTTTTTGAGGCTTATACAACTTTGAGGGAATAAAGGTGGCTGTTTAATTAAATTATTTGTTTTTATTCTTTCTAGTGAACATTGTGATTATCTTATGCACAACAACAATTTAATTTTGTACTAAGAGCTTCAACTTAGTAGTTCATTTTTAAAAAGTTGTGCTATTTCTAGAAGATAAAAGTTTGACAGTATTAATAAAGTATATTAAAAATTTCAATTTGGAAAAAGAAGTCCCAAAGGAAAGAAAATATTAGGTTGGGTAAATATCATCAGGAAGTTCAGGATTAGCATTTTAGTTTCCTTGGCAAGTCATAAAAATGGTAAGCAAGAAATCCAATGGATTTAAAAAAAATAAGTATGATGAACTATAGAAAAACGAATGATTTTATCGATACCTGACTTCAGGGTCAAATGCTCAAAATATTTTCTTTTATGACCAGCAAGCATTTTGCCCTAAATAGTTATATCCTGTTAAATCACTGAATACGATGGTGAAAGTTTCCAGCAATCTGACAAAATGTGGGATTATCTTATTTGATTTGAACTACATGGGCATCTTGGAAGAATAGAGTAAGCATTTCCCCCGTTATTGCAACAAATTTTATAGTGAAGTTGTTAACTATATGCTTTGATTTATAGCTGTAATTTAGGATCCTTCACTGTATGAAGGCACTCTCCCATTGTTTTCTAACAAAGAAAAGAACTAATGCCAGAGACAATAAAATTCATTATTTTATTTTCACTACATCTCCTTTTTCTATATGATTTATATACTATGATCTTTTGGGCAATGTTCAAAGAAAGGGGTGAAACTCACTCAATGAAGTAGACTTCACCCTTCTCTGTATAGGCCATTTCCCAGTTATCAGGCAGTGGGTCTGATTCCTCATTCTCTTCAGGTTTAGTTGGTTTTGCATCATCCATCTGCTCCTTCAGCTCCTCGGGCTGACTGTACACTGGTGCAGGATAAGGCTGGGAGGGTGTCTCCCCTGAGGCACCTGCACTCTTGTCTTCATGTTCACTGGATTCTACAAGAGAACAAGAGCATGCGGTTAGCCACTCCAGCCACAGTGACGTCTAGGTGAGCGTGCAGTATGCCGCACCGGGAAACAAGCCCTGCGAAGGCTAATAGGAAAGCATAATTATAACCAGCTCTGAAAATTATCACTAGGCCTATTTGAGTCCCCTTGCATGCATCATTCTCTTCTATCCTTCAACTATTTGTTGCTGATCACTGAAATGGAGGACCATCATTTCATGACACAGCTGTTTTAGGCAGAATAACGACCCTCTAAGAATGTCCATGTCCTACCTCTTGGGCCATGTGAGTGCTACCTTACGTGGCAAAAGAGGATTTGCGGATCTGGTTAAAATAAGGATTTAATTTGAGATTGAGAGATTGATTATTCAGACAGGTTCACTGTAATCACGAGGATTTTTTTTTTTAAGTGTAGGAGGTAGCCCTGGCCTGGTAGCTCAGTTGGTCAAAGCATCATCTTGATACACCAAGGTTGAGATTTCAATCCCTGGTCACTGCACATACAAGAATCAACCAATGAATGCATAAATAAGTGAAACAACAAATCAGTTTTTCTCCATCACTCTTCCTTCCTTTCTCTCTACCACCCTCCCTTTCTCTCTCTCTCAAATCAATTTTAAAAAAAGAGCAAAAGAGGAAAGCAGAAGAAGAGGCAGATGTGACTACTAAGGAATGACCAAAGAGGTACACTGTTGCAGGCTTTGGAGAAAGAGGAAGGGAACCAACTACAAGCCAAGAAGTGTAAATGCCCTCAGAAGCTGGCAGGACAAGGGAATGCATTCTCCCCTAGGCTTCCAGAAAGGAACGCAGGGACTGATGGCCATTTAATTAAAAGAGAGTTAAATGTATGTATTTTTGCATTCATTCCAGTTCACACAATTCTATAGTTGCAGCCCAGTCTAAGGTTTGGATATTATAATATATATAGTAGCCATGCCATTTGCTTACATGTTTTTTGCCCAAGCAGTATCACAATGATTTTGGATGCAAATCTAAGGATACATCAGAATGCCATGGTTTTGAATGTTCCTTCCTGGTATCATTAAAACATAATCGGAAACCAAGATAAAACCATTTCAAGAAGAATGCCTATTTTATGCCTTATCCATACTTTCATTTGACATGGTTGAGGCATATAGTTGATATTCAGCTTTCTGTAATTGCCATCCTTTGAAATGAGGAGGAATAATATTTTGAAGCTAGATAGAAAATGTTGATTTTATTTCTTTGAACAATCATAACGTTTAAAATTTTAAAATTTGTTTCAGCCCATGAGAGAGCTCTGATTTATATTTCTGACTATATGGCAAATTTTAATAAATCTAATAATTTTTTCTATCTTTATATTATTTCTTTGGAAATAAACATTGACTAGAGCCCTGACCAGTTTGCCTCAGTGGATAGAGCGTCGGTCTGCGGACTGAGGGGTCCCAGGTTCGATTCCGGTCAAGGGCATATACCTGGGTTGCGGGCACATCCCCAGTAGGGGGTGTGCAGGAGGCAGCTGATCGATGTTTCTCTCTCATCCGTGTTTCTAACTCTCTGTCCCTCTCCCTTCCTCTCTGTGAAAAATCAATAAAATATATTAAAAACAAAAACAAAAACATTGACTAGAAAACATTTAATGGGGAATAAAGATTGAGGAACATATTGTAGTTGATTAAAAAAAGAATACAAATAATTTGAGATTAATAGAAATTCTTATTTTTGTTTAGCAATTCTCAGATAGCAGCAAACACACTCCACAGAAACAGAACATGATTGCTAAGGCTGGTGTCAGAGTGCCTGGGTTTAATCTGTCCTTCACAGTATGATACTGAGCAAGTTATTGAATCACTCTGTGCATTCCTCAATTTCCTTAACTGTATGATGGGCCTAAAAACATTACCTACCTATAAAAATTTGACATGTATATAAATTGCTCAGAATAGTAAATTACTGAAACATAGTAGATGTTTAGTAAATTTTATATATTATCATCGGGACTTCTACTACTTAGAACACTAAATAAATTGCACAGATAAATCAGTCGAGCAACCTAAATGGTTTCTTCCTATGGTGATAGAATGGTCTCATCTGTGATATTTGTAGCCAAATTGGATCTCATCTATTGAGGGGGCTAGCCAAGAAAATGCGAATTACTGAGAAACAATAGTCAGTACCTCAACATTATTTTTTTTGTCTTTATGGAAAACACACACTTTTTGATATTGTTTTCTGAAAATAATGCAATTGCAAAAAAAAAATAAAGAAAAAAAAGATACACCCAAAACTGACATTTTCGCTTTACCAGGTGTTTGCATGAATTGAGTTTTTCTTCTTCAATTAAGACATGCTGTGGAGTTAAGTGACTTAAAGAAGAAAAAATAATCCTCAGAAACCACACATTTTTTTCCAAGTTCTGTATTATTTCCTATAGAATTTCGCATTTGATTTAACTGGGTGCCAGGAGCTCCTACTGAACTATAAACTTGTTATTACCTGATTTAAAGTAGAATCAGAGTCTTACTCCCCAATTTTATGTTAGTCAAAAACTTAGTTTCCTCATATATCCTCAGGGCAACCTTCACTTTCAAGTCGGCTTGTAGCAGATAGCTCCACACTTACACTCCATGGTGGTGGAAATGGTGAGGCTTAAAGATGCCCTTGCTTTCTTGCAAATTCAGCAAAATCATTAAAAAGTATGTTAGTTATATTGATCCAAGGTATAACTGCATTGTGGGGTGGAGGGGCAGACAGACTGTCCGAGCATGCTGTTCATTTCACTGCTAGAAGCTGGAATTCTTAGAATTTGAAACACAGGCTCGTGTTAAAGGAACACTTCCGCGTAGATTCTTGCACAAGAGAAAAATATGATCGTAATTGATTTTTTGTTATGACCAGACTATTGAGTATATCCTATAATGAAAAGTGGAGGACATGCTGTCTTCAGAAAGAAAACAGTCATGTGGTGGCTACTTGCATGCTATGTAACCATTTAATTGAAAGTAGCCAAGACTGTAGCTTATTGCTTAAAGTGTGCTATTATCAATTTTCCTTGCTTTTCCTAAACCTTCTAAAGTGAGAAGTGGAATTATAATGTGAGTGCTAAAATGTTTTCACATTGAATGTTTAGTGAATTTTTGCTCATCATTAAAAAAATGATTACTTTTTTTAATGTAGTAAAACATGCAAATGGGCCAAATTCAAAAGTACAGAGGAAATAAGTGTAAGTAGGTTTCCTTCCTCTTCCTACTCCCAGTGCTCCAGCAATGCAGGTAGCAAAGATGATTATTTTTCTGCTCCTTCAGAGATGTTTTTATGTACATTGATTACTTTTAGTTGGTGTTTTCTGACTCCTTAGTTCTCTTATAGTGTTTCTAAGTTTTAAAATAATGCATTATAAATTTTTTATATGTTATGAGATTAAAGAGGGGTAGTCCTCAAACACGGTGGCAAATATATATATATATATTATTGGTGCACAACATTCATGCACTGGGGGTGGGGGGGCGGGAAAGGGGGTGAAGGTGTCCCTTCAGTCAGGCCTGTGCCCTTTAGCAGTCTAGGAGCCCTCAGGGGATGTCCATAGTGCTGCTGCAGAGGCAGGAGAGGCTCCCACCACTACCAACGCTGCTGTGCTCACCAGCCATCAGCCGGGCTGTGGCTGAGCACCCATCCCCTGGTCGTCAGTGTGCATCATAGCAACCGGTTGTTTTGCTGTTTGGTCAATTTGCATATTACCCCTTTTATTTATAGGATTTTTTTTCTGAGATGCTAACAAATACTTTTATTATTTGAGGCCATGAAAGAAACGCAAGTCAAGAATAAAATATTAGAATTAGGTATAATTAGGGTAATGACTTTTGAGACGATATATCAATTGAGGAAAGAAATTCCTAATCCTGTAAAGAAATTACTTTTTATCTGTCATATTTGTAACATAATTGGATCTCATCTATTGAGTGGGCTAGCCAAGAAAATGTAATTTACTAAGAAATAATGGTCAATACCTCAAAATTATTTTTTTATCTTTATAAAAAAACACACGATTGGTTACAAGCTGCATGGAACACTAAAAGACTGCAAGATGAAAAAATCCCAAGATATAAAAAAATTGAATTGGAAAGAATCACTGGAAAAATGAGTAGAGGGAATTATTTCCCATTAACAGGGGAGAAGCACTGCCTTAATTAGTATATATTCTTCTTCCTGCAATATTTAACTTTTTAAACATTTTAATAAAAGTAGACTGAAATAGGGCAATGAAATGAATCCTCACAGCTTTGAAACTGTATATGCTGCATCATTTTTAAAATGTAATGAATTCTGAAGGTATTTGTCATATAGAAACAAGTTCCTCAAGTCCTCAACTAACTTTGGGGTGAAAGAATCTGATATAGCATTGAACACATTCAAAGACCAAAGCAAGATATGAAATGAAATATAGGACATGCATGGATAATATTGTTTAGGTCTTGCTTTCAAAATTCTGAAAAACATTAAGAGACTACACTATATGAAACATAACATCATCTTTTGAAATCCTAGGAACATCAAAGGGGCTGAAAGAGAAAAGGAAGAAGACTTAAAAATCTTGATTTCGATAACTCAAATGCTATTCTTTGGGGCCAAATTGGAATCTAGGTATTTGCTGATGAGAGCAAGAAGTCAATTAGGAGGAAAGAGATAAGGGCGCTACTCCCAAAGATGGAGCGCTGTGGCAGGAATGAGGCGCAGATAGACCTTATTGAAAGACCTTCCCTCTTCAGGGACGAAGGCCAGCCAGAAATGAGAGCAATCTGAGACTTCACCCTGAAATTATAATCACGTCTATGAGGAGAAATAATAGGTAAGAAAATAGAACACGGGGTGAAAATCAGACCCAGAGAGAATGGATGACTATAATTAGAAATAAGCTGAGACTCAACTAGTCCACAGGCTTTCTGTAAGTGCTGCTCAAACCTGAATGCCACCCCGGCTGTCCTTGTTCCACATCCCTCGATCATG